TAAATTCTTGGCTTAGTTAACCTTGATCCTGGGCTTTTATGACCTAATCTTGGCTTGCATTATCTCCCCTCGGCTAGGATCTCTTCTTTTCCACATTGACCTCCTGCTTGCAGGAATGACCTTCGTTTGGTAAGGATAACCTCCACTTGGTTATGAATACCATCTCTCAGCTATCATTACTGTTAATTTCTATGCCTTGGCGGATGACTTGTAGCCGGCCAAGACGATCGAGCAACTCTCCACCGAATACACCTGCAATCTCAGCTATGCGGTTTACACTCATCCTTATATCCTCCGTCCTCACATCCGCTTATCCTTAAAGCCACCAGTTGACTTTTATCCCCGGAGAAATACCCACAGGATTGGTCTTGGAATTCTCGTTCGAGCCATCAATAAGGAATAGCGAGCCTGACAACTGTGCCTCGAAGTCGGGACACTCGAGTGAGGGATGGAGTGAGATCAATGGCAACTTGTGGAAGAGGTGAGACTCGGGGGAGCAGCGTGCTTAATCATGCACGTCCAGGCTGTGCTAACTCCTTCCTATTTGAAATTAGAGCTGCATTGGGACCCGCCAGCGGTGGCCGGCTGACGGCCAACCAAAAACTACCTTTTATTTTGTACCTATAAGGCTGTGTAAGTAAGCGACACCTTTGCAGAATTCACTGCAAGTTCAGGCGCTGCGGGGACGGAGCAGTTCTAAGTTGAATTTTGATAAAAAATGGTCGATGGTGTCAGTCTTATTTGGAAAATTGTGATTGTGTCAGTTCTTAATGTGCAAAAACTGGTGGAAATTGTAGTCTGTGAATATTTACATACGAATTCAAGATTTAACTGAGCAACTCGTGGACTTAAATTAGAACTTAATAATTAATTAAATAATGTGAACTTTGAAATTTTAGAATTTACCCTTAGTCGAGTTGCGATTTCAACATGAGTAAAGTTACGATTTTAACAAGGTTTCACATGCCTTAAACCTTTGAGCTTTTAATAACTTTTGACTGTTTTTTTTTATTTTAGTATAAATTATAAAAATGTATTTAATTTTCCCTTGATGATTGCAAGAAGCTTGCATGATCTAGGGCCAAGGACTGTTGCCAAGGTAGGAGCCATGCCAGCCATCAGGTCGTGGTTGTCGTGTTTGCCCCTGTAGCAGTAACGCGTATGATGGGCTGTTTGCCGAAGCTAAGGCAAATCTGACGGTGCTCACTGGTTTTCTTTAGGCAAACACGACGAGGCGGACGTTCCCTCGGGAGCGACGCTTGACTCCTTGCTAACACTGAATTAGAACTGCTGCCGTTTAGGGAGATGTTGAGACCAAAAAACGCCTTCGTTGTCTCTTCTTGCATTAGTTATGCTTGTCTGCTGAACAGGCAGGCGGGTGTGTGTGATCTCTGTGAAGCTCCTCCTCCAAGCAGCTGAAATTGTTCGTGAAACACCAAGAATACTTCGGTCAAAGAGTGCATCTTCACTCTCAACAGATCTAGTCATTGAGGAAAAATTGAACCCCTATTGTGAAAGTAAATTTCGCAAGTTTTGTCTTGAAAGTTTCCAATGTGGCATGAAAATAGTTATTTTATTTTCAGTATTTTGTGTTTGAATTAATAGGTATTGCTGTTGATTGGGTTAATGATTTGGTTTTAATGGATAGTGGAAAGGGAAAAATGTCAAATTTCAAACCCAAGCATCGATCTATCGCTGCCTTCACGTTAATTGCTTTCTTTTGCACTAATATTACTTAAGCACTTCAAACAAATGATGCCTCAATCTCAATATTTGATGCATTGTGATGAAAAATGTCGATTTTTTTTAAATTTTTTACTGCGAATGAATTATTGACCAAGAAAAAAGAAATTTGAAATCAATACGGTAGAGAAAATGCAAGTACAAATTATCCTATTACACTTCGTCCCAAGATACATTTAAAATATTCCTGCCAGAGTTTTTGCAATCTTTATGCATTACAAAATTTTATTACGATCACGAATAAAAGAACAAAAACACGTAAATTGATCGTGATCTTGGGTGTAGCGTCTAGATTGCTCCTTGCGCCTTATCCGAGCTTTAAGACTTGGCCATAATGGCTGCTCATGGAGCTTTAGATATCCGATTAACTCTCGCTGCCCAAATTAACTCTTGTTTGCCGCTTCTGGCACCCAACTTAACTACCTGGTTTCACATGTAGGATCTTCATTTGGTCGTGCTGTACTGGGGTAAACATGTGCTTTTGCCAACGCCATCTTACAGCCGATCTGCGAACGTGTTTTTTATTGAGAGAAGAACTCTTCCTGTAAGCACTGCAGCTTCCGTAGTTTGTTCGTTAAAATTAGAATCAATTTTTGGTTGCCTTCTTTTAAGCTTCAAAAACCGAGGTTCAACTGCCAATTTTATTCACATTTCTGTGGCAGTTTGTTCAAAACTGGCTAAAACTACTTGGAGAATCTTATTATCGACTTCAAGTTTTCTACCTTTTTTATAATTAAACCGTGTAATTGTACCGAATTAATTTAAGGTTTCTCCTATCAAATTCAATTTGCATGGATATGACTTACGTCCTGCACTTCTTGACTCCTGCCTTTATGAAGGTTGTTACTGACATGCATGGTATACCATTTTTGACCTCCCCTCTAGTCTTATTATCATAATGCTGGTTTTGTGATGGTCATCTGCAAGAGGTGCGTTGAGGTTATGAGATGTGTTGTAACTCATTGTTGTAACTGTTGATTAGAACTTGTTCCTGTCGTCTTTATTACAACTTCTATTTTCTTCTCATCAGGTGAGGGGGGAACCGAGCATCACAGATGCAAAGTTTGCATGGGCTTGCGGTGAGGTCCTTTCATCGGGTAAGTCTAGTAAATTAATAGTTTCTCGTAGATAGTGGAATTTTTGTAACGATTTTTTTAGACAATCACAGGACACAAAATTTGATGAGAATGAATCTTCAGCAGTATATATTTGCAGATATTTTCCACTCGACTAACGCCTATTTCTGACATTTATAAGACACTTCAATTTATGATTTGAAATGCCATTCCGATTACCGCCTCATAGATAGTATGCGGGACTGAAAAACCTTTATATTAGAGCATTGTTTGATAGAAATTCTCATCTGATGATTTTCTACACTGCGGTCTCAATAGAAAAAAAAAAATATCCATGGAAAACGCTTAAACTGTGAATTTAGGATTTTTTTCTTCTTGATGTTCGGTTGCGAATTTTCCGGCCTGATAGGCTTAAACCAAGATCATGTTACAGCTGTAGTGAATGCCACGTGTTATGCTGAATTCATTCGCCCTATTTTGCAGAAATCTTTATTTGCCTTTATATCCTAGTTCGTCCTCAAGCGTCACGATGCTTCGAAATCTGTTGCTATTTTTTGGGGTACTCGTGCTGCTCCAGCGCACGCATCGAGTTGCTAATGACAGACTGTGATCCACGGTGTCTATTATGTGGCTTTGTTGTTAATGGCTGTCATTTTTTAAGGAGCCGCTTCCATTATTAAGGCTAATCAATGTATAGGGTCAAAGTGTGTAGGTATTTTGCTGCATAAGTAGAGTGCTTATGTGCCATCTGTATCCTCAGTATAATCGAGGAGTTTATTGCCTGCAAGTTTCTTGCTTCTTTTGTCCGAAGCTCGAGTCGACTTGATTTACCAAAGAATGCACATTATTTGTTGTTTTTGTTTCATTGTGAAAACTGAAATTTTTATCTGTTATTATAATGTCGCTTCTTTACACTTTATTCACTATTAAGATAATATTATAGTGTGCCTTCATACTTCTGTTCTCAAATACTTATAATTCCAATTTGACTTGTTCTTTGGTTTTATTCAATCATTTAATATGGATGTGTGGTGTCTTCGAGCAAGTAATGCTTGGCATAAATCATGAGCGATTTTCTCGTGTCGATGGCTTGGTTTAAATCGGCGCTCAATCATTTGGGTGTTTGTGGTCAGCGATCAAAAGGCGACTGTTTGGCTGTCTTCCGACCTGAGTCACGTACTCGAGTTGAATTGTATCCTGTCGAAGTGCCGACGTTATTTTGCTCAAGCCGATATTGTGTTGCCGAGACACCGCTAACGCATGCTTCTACCGCCCCTTAGATATGTATACGGAGGCTTGCGTAAGTTTGATTGTGGATACATATCTACGCAGCATGATGTTCGAATATGAATGGTAAGTAATAAATTTCATTAATGTCTAGGAAAATAACAGTCTTGAACAGAATTTTTCTTTTTTTTTGTACTGGCTTACATACATACATACTTAATGGTTCGTTCTACCTCTCAAGTCCTATATTGAAAATACTGAGAATTTTTTTATGATCATTCAATATTGATTTTTTATTCACGATTCAATAGCCAATCGCAAGTCACTCATGTGTCGTAATAAATTCGATATTATCTCCGCCGTAAAAACCCCGAGGTATTTTTGCGCGGCCAAGAAAAAAGCACGCACCTACCATGTCGATCTCATGTGAAAAGCAGTGATCCGTAACTATCTATATTTTGGCTTGAAGCTCTTCGATCGTTTCTCGTCGTAGCCGCAATGAGGAAAAAGGTGGAACAAAACCTGATTTTAGTTGTAGATTTTCGACTGGAGACCGTTTGCACTTATTAAGTGATTTTTATAGTATAATAACTCCTTACCCTCCGTAATGTATTTTCTTGCTTGAAAACTATTCCATTACAAATAACGACAATTTTATTATTAAGCACTGTTAAAGTCTGTGTGCCGGAACATCTGTCTAATTTAATCAGCAATTCCAACGTTAACTCAAATGTTTATCTTACAAATGCGATATTTACTATTCTGAAAATTTCTATTTGTTTTGTGATGAGCCGCCACAAGCGATTCCGGCGTATCCCAGGTGGTCGAGGCCACGAAGAATCGAAATAATAAATACAAGAAGGGGAGGATGGCTGCTTCTTAAGCGCTCTGTTGAATTAAGCTTTAAAAAGTCAGCTTTGTTAAAACCCCGTCGAAAAAAAGGGTCACAAAAAATTACTGCCAACAGCTGAAGACAGCTGGCGAATGGCGATGATGAGAGAGATGTGAGGGAACGGAGATGGTGAGATGTGAGGGAGAGGAGATGGAGAGATGTGAGGGAGCAGAGATGGTGAGATGTGAGGGAGCGGAGATGGGGAGATGTGAGGGAGCGGAGATGGGGAGATGTGAGGGAGCGGAGATGGTGTGATGAGAGGGAGCGGAGATGGGGAGATGTGAGGGAGCGGAGATGGGGAGATGTGAGGGAGCGGAGATGGGGAGATGTGAGGGAGCGGAGACGGGGAGATGTGAGGGAGCGGAGATGGTGAGATGTGAGGGAGCGGAGATGGTGAGATGTGAGGGAGCGGAGATGGGGAGATGTGAGGGAGCGGAGATGGTGAGATGTGAGGGAGCGGAGATGGGGAGATGTGAGGGAGCGGAGATGGGGAGATGTGAGGGAGCGGAGATGGGGAGATGTGAGGGAGCGGAGATGGNAGCGTGCAGCAACGAGCCACCGACGACCACTTTCGGGGAGCTGTTGGCTTTCTTGCGTTACTCCAACTCAGGCGATCTTACGTTACTCCAACTCAGGCGATCTTACGTTACTCCAACTCAGGCGATCTTATAGTTATACGCTACTCCAACTCACGATCTTGCGTTGCTCCAACCCGTAACGATTTTGCATTACTACAACTCGGACGATTTTGCGTTGCTGCAACTAAGACGAGATTTTGCGTTGCTATAGCTCGGACTATTTTGCGCTACTACAACTAAGACGATTTTACGTTGCTACAGCTCAGAAGTTTGCTACAGCTATGACGAATCGAATGTGGGTTTTCCATACATTGTATATCTGCTTAAGCGCATGCCCACTCACCTCCTCATTTGCCCTCACATATCTTGCATGCAACTACTCGTCATCTCATGGGCCAACACATATCCTGTGTCCACTTGCCTCACATCGTCTCATATACCCACACATTATTTCATGTATAGACAGATCACATATTTGATATACCCACGCGTCACCTCATGTCCGCAGTTCACATATCACGCAAGGTTACACATCGCCTCATGTGTTCACTCCTCGCCAAGTTCTAGACCTTCAGACAGGGCATGGGTGAGGCATGGAACGGGGCAGTGTGCCCGTAGCTTTAATTGTTCAATTGTCCAGCAAATGGGAGAATTCAGTTTGTGATGGCGAGCCGCCCCAAGTCGCTCCCAAGGGAGCAGGGGGCGGCATCAGCAAGTTAGTCCACGATTCACCTCTCAGCAAGACGTCAAAAATCTGGATTTTGCTCTGTCAAACTAACACCCGTTTTTTTTATAAACAAATCGGTGTTCTCACATTTCACCCAGTTTTGACTTAACGTGTAAGGTTGAAGTTTCAAAAGTTTAGTGCCATCCTGTTTCTTACGTTGTTTCGATTTATATACTACTCTATGTTTATAATATCAGAACGACTTTGATTGCATTGCCAGCAATTTTCAAATGGCGAACTCTGAAGATTTTCGGACGGCTGAGACGCGCGTAGTAGAGTCTTTGTGACCACCTGAACCAACGTATACGTCTCCTCCGTGCTTGCGTGCAATAAATCCTGAATTGTGCGCTTTCAGCCTCACATATTCCTTGTGTTTAGTTTGCCCATCTGGTTTTTGTTAATTCAAAGGGGACTTTGATAGCTTTATAATATTCCAGAACCTCGCCGTAGGACACCGAGGAGGTTTACTGTATTTTTAAACTCAATTCTTGGTTGACGGATGCGTAGTTGGATTTGTTTGTTGTCGGTTTTGATCTGACAAATTTATGATGGGATGGAAGATGTTTTCGTGAGTTAGACTACTAAGAGGCTTTCCAGTTCGGATATCGAATCGCGATATATCTATCTGCTTGTTTGTAAGTGTACGGTACTTAATTCATTCGCTTACCTGTTATTGATCAAGCACTGGCGACGAGTTAATCGCCAAATGCGAGCACTAAAAAGTTTTATTCCGTCTTTTCTGCGCTCATCTGTTTCCTTAGTATCGGTATTGTCGCACTCGTGTGTGATGCGTAATTAGTTTTCGTTCTCATCAATATTACGTGCCGACCAGAAAAGAGGAGGTGAAGAGCAGAGCTTCTAATTTGTAGAGAAGTTACCCTCCATCTCGCCTCACTTTATTCCGTCCTAAATTGCTCTCGCCTGCCGCCACTAATTACGAAGAAGTAGCGTAGTCTCTTCTCTCTTTCTCTCACCTCGGTTACGCCGTTTAATTCGTTAATTTTTTTAACAATATAAATTTTTTGAATTATGAATCCCAATAGCTGAATTTTTTGTCTCGTAAAATATTTAAATTCCATGTATGAAAATTTTGTTGGGTAATTTTCAGCCTATTTATTGTTCAATGAATTTGCAGAAAAACGACATGTTTACATCTAATTTCTGCGTCAGTAAATTGTTTTCCTCTAATTTGTCCTTCGTTATTTCTCGGACCAAATAATCTTGAATTGCGTGCCTACGTACCCAAGTAGGGGCAATGACGTATAACCCTTAATACAACTTGTCGTTCACCCAGCACGGTTAATTATGGTCTGATATTAAACATTATCATGTTTCCGTTGGCAAATAATACGAATTTCAAGTTACGCAACCGTTGTCTTTTGAAGATAATTCAGTCTTGAATTTGATGTTTGTGTTGGAAATGTGCGCCTTGTGATGCACAGCATAGTTTGTGACGCAGCTATCTCGCGTATCACGGCCACGCCTCCTGCGCATAGCGACACACCGATTGTTAATTCCGTGTGAAGTTATCACCGTATCCCTCCTGCACATCATCTGTCCGTATTCCTCCTCCACATCATCTGTCCGTATTCCTCCTGCACACGTATCCCTCCTGCACATCATCTGTCCGTATCCCTCCTCCACCTCATATGTCCGTATTCCTCCTGCACAATATCTGTCTGTATCCCTCCTGCACTTCATCCCTCCGTGTCACCGTTGCAGTTTTCTGCGGCTGTTTTCTAAGACTTGGATTGCCTTCACTCCTCGCGTTGCAGGGCCATCGTTTATCCTGACCTCATCCCGGCCATCACGTGTGAGGGGTTGGAGGCAGGGAGAGCAGCTCATGCCGGTGTGCAATATACAAGCCTGCGCTCGACACATCCAATGTATAGCCGGCAACCCACCAGTGTTGCGTGCCAGGCCTTGATTTCTTTCCAGTCAATTAACGAGCTCCCCTTCAGTGCTAAGAGTCTCTGATTTTCTCCACGTTGTGTCCTGTAAAATATGACTTTTTCTACATTATTTGTCACTTTTATTCATGAATTTTTGCGTGTTGAGCAATGAGCATGTTATGAGTCTTAGAATATTTCAGAAAATTATAAATTTTATTTCGATTTATGTTATCATATGACATATATTAATATATTTGATGTTTCTAGCGTTAAAGTTACCTAATTTGAATTTACTTTTGTTTAATCATACAAGTATATGTGCACGTAGTTGTGTCATCAGGATGAAAACCTGCCGCCAGCTTCGTATAAATTCTTTGTTTCACAACGTGAAGATATTCATTTTGATAGCGGGGAATTCTCGAGCTAGTGTCTCCTGATCGGACGCCACGGTGTGCCAATTGTAATACAATTAGTTTAGTTTGATTGCGGCACCGATAAATGGCTGGAAAACTCTAATGACTTAACGCTTGATTGTATCAGGAGGTGATCGCATATCTTGGATACCATCAAATGTTGTACACTCAACACGCGTATGTATGGCGCGCGTCATCAAGATGAAGGCGCGTGATAGGAAGAACCAATAACGAGCCTGCTGGGCTGTGCCGCCCCCGTGCCACGAATCTGAAGCGAAGTAGCGTCGCTAACACCAGTCGTCAAGCGGTTATTGATGCTCATTACCGGGTAGAGTAGAAGACTATTATTTGATTTCACCCATTATTTTTCATGTTTTCTTTTTTAATTTTTCCTCTAAGTTGAAAAATTCGCTTTATTTTTTTTTAATTTAGTATTTCTGAATTTATTTAGTAAGCAATTTTTCGATCAGAGACAATTTAAATATTGAATGGTTACGCAGCGTCCTCTTAGGTTGTGCATGTAATCCAGTGTATCCCGAGGCCTTCTAATTTGTAGCTATTTACGGTCCAATAAAATCCAAATTATTGGCCATTCTCCGCATTTTTCCAGCTTAAGGAAAATTTATTCATCGGCATTTTTTTCGACTGACTATCGCGGGAGGCGATCAGTCTTTTAATTACGAGGGCGTTGTGGCTTCTTAGAAAGAGCAGTGATTTGATTTAATTAAGGTTATCTATTCAGCGATGGCGGCTAAGAGAGCCGTAAGCCATCGCGCTGCATATCATTACGTGCTATGAGATTCGTATAGCGCCCACATCTGCATATATAGCTACGCTCACTTCATCTGCTGCTGACCGTGTCTTAACATCGACTAAATCTACCCCTCGCAAAATTTCCCTTCGAGGAACTTTGGCTTTCATTTAACTTTTTATCTCCTATAATGCGCGGGCGTATTATAAGCAACTGGGCCACGATGGGGACACGAGAGTTTATGATTAGCTTTACCAACATAAATGTTTTCTCTTTATCTTTCAGGCAGCGTCCTGTGCATCTAAAATACATATGAACATTTATATTGGTGGTCCCCTCGATCATGACCAATGTGCGGTAGTTTGAGTGATTAACGATTTCACTCAGGTTCGAATAGCGAGTACGGAGAGGTTCCGCCCGCCAGGCTGGTACGAATTTGTGAGAGCGTGCGCTTAGTTGGTTTTCAGTGCGCCTCATCAGCTCTTGGTTATTGACCCTAACTGTCTACTGCTAAATTTATTCAATGTGGAAACTGGCTTCGTTCATTCGACTGAAAAATTTCGTATTTTTCACTCATTTGAATTTGAGAAAGTGCACGATCAAACCGCATAAATCTGAACGGATAAATGCGTGTGATGAGTGAATTACAGCTTTCAGCATACAATATTTCATTATATCTGAGTATGTGATGGAAGTTCTAGTAGATAGATGTGTGTACAGCTGTAGGAAAGTTTCTATTTAATAAAAGTTTATGTTTCGAATGTTTGATGTGGCTAGTTACTTGCATAACTATTACCTAAATTCATATCCGTAACTATTGCTAGCGTTACGGTATGCTAAATTTCATGTTTTAATTTATTGAACATTAGAAGCAAACGAAGGAGTCCTTCGTTCGCCAGTCTCGAGCTCCACCAACTTTTGGGAATTCGACATTTGTGCGACAAGTTGTGTTGTTTTCGAGGTGGTCAGTCGCTTGTATCTTCATATCATTTCCAGTGTTATGTTACGCATGAAACTATTAGCTGATCTTTGATTTACATCAACATCTTATTAATATAAGGGGAAAATTTAAAAAACACTTCCTCGATGTGTGAATTCAACGTTTCTGAGTGTGGTTTGTAAGCATAATAATTTTTTGGATCAATTTTGTATAGACAGAATTTCAAAGCCCGGAAGGCGTGACTGCATCGCTTGTCGTGGCGTCTGCTCCGCATTTACTTCGCTGAGGTTGCAAAAATTTTCAGCGTTTTATCAGAGGCCGCACTTAGGCCGTCCATACCTCGTAGGAGATCCTCAACAGGGAATGCTGACTTTTCTTATCCATAATTCGACGCAGCGGAATCACGCTTTGCGTTGGCTTGCATTGCCAGACAGAGTCGTAGGCCTGAGGGATTTCTCGAATATTGTTTCCACGAGTCCAGCAAATTGACAACGTCGAATAAGTAGTTTTCTTCTGTTAAAAAACTAGGGTGTGGAACTAAATTAAATTTTATCAACTCACTTCCCAACCAAACTCTCAGGAGTTGAATGCGTTTATATGGATTAAAGTAGTATATTTTTCATGAAATGAGTTTATATGGTATACTTCCTGATCATTATTAGGTACTCCTAACACTGTTTTCAGTATCAGATTATTTTTTCTAAGTATTGACGCACATTTATGTGACGTCATTGAACACTGTTCTAATCTTTATTATATACCCCTACCGACTTGATCGTTTTCTTTTATTCATCCATATTGTTTTTTCTTCTCCTTTGCTTGCTGTTGATTTGCGCCACCTTTCACCCTTCTGCTACTCCCCTCACAACTCAGTTGATCCTCCTAACTTCCCTCATCTCTCTATTACCTCCTCTTCTCAACCCTCAGTTCCATCATAACTCCTCTCCCTAATTGGGGATAGTCTCAACTGATGAATGTTCCCAGGCGCCTCTACCGTATTTTAGACAATTGTTCCAGTCCGAGTAAAAGAATTCGACGTGGACGTTTATTTGCTCGCTTTAGTGACCTCGATGCAGTTAGATTTGGTTCCATTTACGTTCTGAACGAGGTCATATAGCTCTTACCTTAACTTTGTGATAAATGTTCTTTTGAGCAGTTAACATAAATTTAACTTGGCATATAATGAAACTCTACGTCCGTGTAAACGACTCACTTGAATATTTTCCTTCAACATGCGATGTCAACACGATTTTTAGCGTTTTTTTCCGCAAGAGTTAACTTCACAATGTTCAGTTTTGTTCCACACTCCTCCTTATTTTCTATCGCCGTCACAATTCTTGCCCATGTTTCTCCCTTGTTTTTCCTCGCCAACCCCGAAGCAGGGAAAGGCTCCCCTATTTTCATCAGAATGTTGCTAGTGTTTCTCAGGCCGAACTTCTCGATAATGGCCGAAGTTAGTAATGGATTTCACAGATTATTAACATACATCGATAGGCCCGCTGCCGCCCGCCCCGCACGGCCTCCGCGCATGCTTCTGCCGTACTGCCGCCTTCTTATTCCCGTGTACCTTCCTTAATATTTTACCATTGTTAATTTTCTAATTCGTTTTTTTTTGTTTATGGTCTGTTGAAATGTGGTAATTGACACATACGCGATACGCGAAATATGAAAAATTTTATGGTGGCTGACTGGCACACACTGGAACTGCAATAGATAATAACAGCTAACCTGTTTTGCCCTGGATAGATGGATCATGAGATTAAAGAATCCTGTTATTCGGAATGCATTTGCTGATGTTTAACTAAAGTTTGGTTATGAGAGACTAGGTCACACTCAAGATTTAGCAAAGAATTCTTATTTAAATTTCGTTGTAGAGTTTCCAAGAATATATAATGTTTGACTTTTAAACAACGAATTATTCAATTAAACTGACCAAATTTAAATGTTTATTTCAAGCTTTCTTTCCTCCGTTTTTGCAGTGTTTCATGCTTAAACACAACACGATATTTTTTATGTTTACGAGCTCTAATAACCCCATATATATTCGCACGCCTGGCTTCAAATTAACTCAAAAATATTTAATAGTTGGCACTCCCATCGGAAAATAGTTTTGTAACGTGAATTTTTTTATCTTTCAAATTACATTTAATAGTACAAATATGAAAATCGAATTTGAAATTTTTGATCCGAATCTTCTTCCCCTCTTTTCAAAGTTTTATTATTCCCCTTATTTCTGATCCAGGCACTATTCCGACACGATAGTTGTGGTTGCGTGGTCGAATAACCCCAATATATTTCCAGCGCCAGGCTCTAAATGCATAAACTAATTTTCCAACTTACATATTTGTCCAGCAGCTTGACGTTTTGTTGTTACTCGGGAAAAATAATGCCTGTGATTTTAAATCACGTTCCCATTTTCGAGAATACTTTTCCACTTATCAAGTCAGGAGAATCGCGTTTTAGTTACTAAATGGTCATCTCTCCTGTCAAAAATATTTTCAGACTGAATTATTATGAAATTAAAAGCCCGTTCAGACCCTCATTGAATAAAGACCTCCAGTCAATTTTGGCTTATAATTTCAAATAACAAATTATTTTATTATTAACGCAATTTTGTTGCCAGTTTCAAGTTCAGTTTGCGTTTTCCAATCAGCCACAGTTTTTGATGTCTGAATTATTCCACAGCTAAAAATAACATTTCTCACCCACGTAATGTCCCACAAGACAGATATGGGGATACGCTCCCAAATGCCGTATTTTTATTTAAAAACGTCGGGTCTCAATAAAATGAAAGCTAACATCGAAGTAAATGAAAAATTGAAGGGGATTTTTCCTTTGCTTTTTGCTCATTTAAGATTTTTATGCGGTTCGATTAGCCTCAATTATTTTGGCTAGTTCTTCATTTTGTGGTAAATTTCACTGCGTGTCAAGCCTTACATCTATTTCCGATCATAAGTCGTATGTGAAAATTTCTCTCTGTTCGATTGTATTTCTATAACATTTCTTCTTCTTTGCAAATATCTTAGGGAGGTGTTCCTTAAAGTTCAGATTGTTTTATCCTCAATATTATCTATCCTGATTCATTCATCTCAACATGACGATAAAAATTTCCCGTGTACCAGGTATTGGAGTCCCAAATGTCATTTATCTGTGATACGCGTCGTAAATCCCTTGTACTCCTAACTGTATCACCTCATGTGCATTTATCATCCACTGCGTATCAGATCTTTCATTCATCTGGATAGGCCGCGTGTTTAGGCCTTGTCTCCACACTTGCTTCTATCAGCAGAAGTGTTATCCTCTTCAGCCGGGCTCTGCTCTTCATTGACAAGTGACTCATCTCTTCGTCTCTTTATTTGACCCACTTCATGTCTCTCTAATCTTTTCTTTGTTTCGTATGCTCGCTGCTTTTTTTGGTGCCAAGGCTTGACTTGCGTATAACCATTTGGCCTGACGTTCCCTATAGCTATACCTCCCATCCAGCCTGTTCGTCTAGGTACTTGTTACTTCTGCGATGCAGGAAACTAATATTTCTGCTAAAAAATTATCGATCCTTCACTGTAGATTGAGGGCGGATTGAAATTTATTTCCTGAAATTGATCACATGGATTTTAAAGAAAATCGTTCTAGGAAACGCTTTGGGCGTTGTTGTTGAGTTGAATATTTCGGAAAGCAAAATTCGTTGAGTTCAACAAAGAGGAAAGCAGAAGCCCTGCGATAAAAGTCTACGGCATAAGAGATAAGAAGAGGACCGCAAAATTAACGGCGCGCAGCTCTTGAAGGTAGACTCTCATTTTGACCCGAGCGCTTAATAAACATGAGATCGACAAGACCTGGCGAGATTATCCTACGTTCATTGATTACTGTTGGTTTTGCTATAAAAATACCCATTGTTCGTGTTATTAGTGCTTGCCGTGTAGCTAAAAATTTGATCGAGATATTTCTTCTTGCTGGACGTTCAACAGAAGTGTACGCTCGCTGGATTATTTGTTTGCAATTATACTCCGTGCTGCCCAAGCCTGAAGTATTTGAGTGTCCCCTCACACTTGATGCCCTGATCCCGCGCAAGTAGCGAGTGAGGGCCGCTATGTCCACTTCAGTTCTCTGCTGCGCGTCACAGAAAAAAATGCACCATATGTCCTCTGCAGTGCAGTTGAGATGAGAAGTTTTGCAACGGATTTAGCTAGCCGACCTGTTTTTATTTAGCCGACCTGATACAACTATGAATATGCCAGCTCTCACGCCCACGCCTGTGCCACTGGAAGGTAAAAATACTTTTGTAGAAGAACAAATTTTCTTTATCTAATATCGAATTATTTGTCACGCCTCTCACCCTCTATTGATCTCCTTGAACAAAAATGGTAGGCTGGCTGTGGGTACGTGGAGGCTTACGTGTCATTTCGCGCCAGTGATGCCACGGCCTGACAAAGGTTGTCTGTAATTTGTTGGCACTGGCACTGAAGAGACGAGGTAGATAGCTACTCACCGGGACGATGTGAAGATATAGAACCGTGCGCGCAACGGTGCGGCGACAACAGGGTGCGCGGCGTATACTTGGTGTCTGACGTGGTACGCTTGGTGCTTTTGATCCCCGACCAGTCACCAGTGTACTTGACCCTGACCAGTGTACTTGGTCCTGACCATTGTACTTGGCCCTGACTTTGTGTACACTGTACACTGCATGTGCACGGTACTTGTCTTGTCGCTACACCAGCGCCCTTCATGCACTTGAGGCACCGCGCTTACCCCATCACAGAGACACTCTTTTCCTGTGCGAGTCCTGAGAGGTTTCCTAGCCGCGACACTGATATATCCTTCCTAGCCGCAGCAGTGATATATCCTTCCTAGCCGCGGCACTGATATATCCTTCCTAGCCGCGGCACTGATATATCCTTCCTAGCCGCGGCACTGATATATCCTTCCTAGCCGCGGCACTGATATATCCTTCCTAGCCGCGGCAGTGATATATCCTTCCTAGCCGCGGCACTGATATATCCTTCCTAGCCGCGGCACTGATATATCCTTCCTAGCCGCGGCACTGATATATCCTTCCTAGCCGCGGCACTGATATATCCTTCCTAGCCGCGGCAGTGATATATCCTTCCTAGTGCTGCACTGATATATCCTTCCTAGCTGCGGCACTGATATATCCTTCCTAGCTGCGGCAGTGATATATCCTTCCTAGCTGCGGCACTGATATATCCTTCCTAGCTGCGGCAGTGATATAGCCTTCCTAGCTGCGGCACTGATATATCCTTCCTAGCTGCGGCAGTGATATAGCCTTCTGAGGGAAAATCGACTCCAGATTTTTAATTTAATCTTAGGGTTTGGGAGACCGCTTTGTGATAACAAAAGGCATCCGTGAAAACTAGAAGCAATAACTTCTAGTTTCACTTCACTTGTAATAATTGCGTTGTCTAAGAGTGGGTGAATGAGTTGGTATCCTTTCACATCACAAAGCTTATTTATTTTATGTGGACCCTAATTTTCAAAACGTTAGTTCATTACTCAATGCTCAACACCAATGTTATCGTGATATTATAATTTATTCGCAGCTTAGCCACTTTTCCGCGGCGTTGTGTTACCACAATCAAAATGATTAATTTGAACTTGCACCATAATTTTGCTGGAAATAATTGTATATTGTTTTAATATAAGCTCGTATTATTTGTTTCAATACGTGGCAACATCTTCACCATCAGTATGACGGTTCTTGTTATATACACACCACAGTATATATAATAATCACTCCCGTTTTGACGCTGCAGACAGCCTCATCCGTCGCGTGCCGCGGACTCCCGGCGCTCAAACAAACACTGTTTGCCCCGCGCTGTGTTTGTTGGCTCAACGTGTGGACGATTTCCTAACCGGCACTTCCTCTTAGCTGCTATTCTATTTATCGATCATAAGTTAAGGAATCATCAGTAAACCTTTCAGGCGGCCCGGATAGTTTGGCAAGAGGGTAGGAATAACATTATCTTCTCCTACTCGTGTGTGGATAACATTGTATCATTCACATTTAAAGCATAACTGAACAATACGGAAGGGAATTCTTGGCATCGCAGTTTTTCCGCTCAGCTATGAATGTATTGTCTAAAACTGACCTATATTGGTCGCATTAACAGGTAAAGAACGAAATAAGGCAGCGGGTACATTAATATTTAAAGCGCAGGTTATTTATAAATAAAGTATTTCTCAAATACCTTATTTTGTTGTGATTTGTCCTCGGAAAAAAACGCAAGCTGATGATTCTTTCACGCTGGAAGCATATAGCGATGGAGGGCAAAGTGAGCAAGTATCATGCCTAATGAGTTCAGCCTGCAGAGGGCATGAATGACCTGCATGAGTGTTCTTTACCTCGTGCATGTGTCGGCATGCCCAGCAGCACCTGCGCCCTCTAAAGGCACAGCTGTTACTACACACTTGTGAGAGCCCGTCGCACGTCATATGCTCAGCGTGGTGATGTGGGCGGGCGGCTTGGTGTCTTTAGGGTCATTGATCCCGAGGATCATGATTTATTATTATGCGTTCCATGTCAATTAAGTTCCGGGCCTTGAAACTGTATGTTCAGAAGCATGGCACACATTATTTATTAATCTTGAATTTCATATGAGCGGTGAGTTCCTATGGCGGTGGCTTTACTCTGAGTCATCAAAGCCGCTGATGTTCTCTTCTCCAACCGCTGGTGCTCTAGGATTCTCTTGCCCAATGGATCTTTAGCCTTGGGTGCTCTAGCATCCGTTGCTCTAGCCTCTGGTGCTCTAGCGCCCATAAACCTTTATGTAGCTCGGCAGTCTCTGATACTTTACAGTTTCCATTAGCTTTTGGTGCTCTACCGTTGTCACAAGCTTCTCACGCACTACAAAAATTTTGAGACATCTGGTGCTTTGCAGTTTCCTGCTGCATTCAATGCTCAACTTATCTTGAGTTTCTCATACTCTATAGCATCTTTGGAATTTGAGGTACTCCAAAGTGTCCTCTAAACTTAAGGTGCTCTACAGTATCCTTGGAACTTGAAATTTGCTAGTGTCCTATAGGAGCGCCTAGTGCTCTACAGTGTCCTAGGAGCGCCTAGTGCTCTACAGTGTCCTATGATCGTCCAGTGCTCTACTGTGTCTTAGGAGCGTCCGCTGCTCTACAGTGTCCTAGCAGCGTCTGCTGCTCTACAGTGTCCTAGGAGCGTCTGGTGCTCTACAGTGTCCTAGGAGCGTCTGGTGCTCTACACTGCCCTCGCAGCTGTTGTTCACTGGCTCTCTCTGACTTGGGAAGTTGACATCGAACTTTTAAGAGCTTCCGCTTGGCTTGTACGGGACGAGTGGCAGAGGCTCGTACGCGTGAGGCTGGCTGAGGCGCGTGTCGGACCTGAGGGTCGTCCTCGGCGTGAAGAAATATTCTTAAAATTTGAACCTTAATGATTCCATAGATTCGCTCTAGAATTCAGGAGCCAAGTTATGCTAGTGCGAAAGATCCCGTAGTTTACCGAGTTCGCCGATGTCCATTTTGACCGAGAGAAAAAGAATCAAATCCTTCTAAGCCATGAGACTGCTAAGAAAATTCATAGGCTTTTTTTCTCCTGAAGTGGAGTCAAGCACTGACTGTGACTGAAGCCCTTAGCCGAGAGGTTTGAAGACTTGCAGCGTCTGCATCGTTTCCTCGAACAACTATAGAAACACCAATACAATTCAATTCTTCTTAATAAGAAGCTCGTGCCGAATAATGCATCTTTTTGACATCGCAAGTCGCTTATCGACCTCAGTTGCAGGTCTCAATGCGCGTTCATTATAGGGTGAATTTCTATTTCATTTCTGCGTGGTATTCATGAGTCGCATTCTGGACGTTCTAAGATAAAAAAATATTTGCAAGCAGCTGCCCATAGTCGTTCATATAGCAGCTCTAACAAGTCCTGTTGTGGCGAGTCTGGTGACAAACCATTGCGATTTTCTCGCAGCACTGACGCAAAATACGGCAATAACCATAACACCGTCTACGAACACCTCATTCTTCCTGTTCCTCTATCTTCGTAATATTTCGCAGTCTTTTGTCTGCAGTGACGTGCCTTTTCAAATTGGAGCATGGGATGTGTAAAAAATTGCTTAGGATTGTATTTTTTTATTGCAATTTGGCCTATTTCTTTATAATGACATGGATTTTTTTTAATGATATTTTTACGCTGGTCAAATAACGGTAGAGCTGGCACCGCCCATATTTGATATTAAATTTTACTCTACATCAAATAATATTAATTACTAATTGCTTTATTTATACAATATTGATTCAATTCGATCAATCTGCAGTTATTGTTTGTTCCATTTCAGTATTGATCCGGGATCATCTTATTTTATTAATTCATTCGACCAATTATGTGTTCACATAATTTTTATTTGTCGGTTATTTTCAATTATTGCAATTTTTTGAACGTTATTTATCGTATTCGGAGATAAAATTTGAAGTTCACTGATTGTATCTAATTTTTGCTCTCAATAAAAGTTCTTGTTAGCAATCAGAGAGAAGCATTTCTCCATGACTAGATTTGATCAGGCAAAGTGTCGACGCGGCTGCACGGAAGGCATTTGTGCTGAGCAAGCGATTCTGTTTTCCATGCTGCTGCCAAAGACGTCTCCTGAAATATGTCTTCATTTTCAATACATTTGCTGCTATTTTTCTCCTTACTATTCCACATTTTATCAGAGCTAGTTATGTTCGTTTACTTTCTGCAAAGTAACTTATGTTTAATCCTTCCGTATCACGTTCATATAACTTGTTCGTCGTACAATCCGCCTTCTTTAATATGCGTTAATCCTACGATATGAAAGTATCTTCTTCCCTGCCTGTCTCGTCCCCCAAGCTATATAAGCGAACAAAGCGACCTCTGTTGTCGCTGCCCACTTTCCCCACGTGCAGCAGCGTATTCTCCCGCTGTGGTCATTAATGCATGATCTAACCCCCTAATTTAATTTGTGTTCTCTTTGATACTATAATAATTGGCACGTTTCTCCCTCGCTCTTGCTTCAGCCTTATTTTTGCTCGAGCATTAATAATTCATTTCGCCTGTAATTAGTTAAGAGCAAACTTTCTTTTTGCGCTATTCAAGGACGCTTTGCTTGCTCATGCGCGCTGTTTGCCAGGTCGTGGCCCGTATGGGGAGGGGGCTCAGCTTGGATGCATGTGGGTGCATCAAAAAGCATCGTTCAGTGACCGCCCGTCGTGGGACAGTTTGCCAGCTCCTGCATCAACATCTCTTCATTTACGCTTCATGAATCCCTCA